GAACTAGCATTTAAAGCACTTTCTAAACATTTTCATCTTAGTGAATTGTTTTCTCTTTTAATAGTATTTTTAATAGTATTTCAAAGTTGTGGTCAGTCTCATCACATTGAGCAACCAATGTGTTTAATGTATTGTTTTTTAAAATGTCCCTTTTGTGTTCATATAATCTCTTATTTAAAATTCTTGAGATTTCTCCAATATATTTTTTCTGGCAATCCTTATTGGTGATAGAGTAAATTCCTCCTTCAAGTTTTGGCTTGTTGGTATGTTTTTTATTGATTAAGTCTTTATTGTTTTAAATGTAGTTGTGACAAATTTTATGTTGAGTTTAGATAAATTCTTTTCCATTATAGTTCTGATAGAGTTGGTGGATAAAACAATATATTTTTTTGATTCGTTGGCTTTCTCAGGAGGAGACACTTTTCTATTTTGGAATATTTTATGAGCCTTTTGTTTTGCACTGAATATGAAATAGGGTATTTGAGGAGATTGAAAGTGTTTCACTGTATTTCTACTCTTCATTTAAATAGTGAGGGCTGCAAATTTTGAATGCTCTTAAGTAGAATCCGGTAAGTTTTCTGGATTTTATTTTGAGGAGACATGGTGTAGTAGTGGATAGCAGCTCAGATTGAGGAATCGGAGAGCCAAGTTTGGATTCCAGTCAAATTCATTACATTCACTTGCATGCTAATCAGTTTGGGATAGGTAAGAATCCTCTTCTTCTCCACCCAGTTATGGGTAAATAGCAGAACAGACTGGGTTCTATAGCTTTGGATGGCAACTGGTCTACCACAAAGAGAAATGGCAACCTACTGTGGGAAAAAATCTGTCTCATCAGTCATATATCACACATGTCACATAACTGATTGACTGATGGGAACAGAAATTTATTTTTGGGAGATACTAAGTTTTAAGCTGAAGTTAACACAATATCTAGGCAAGGTAAAGTAGTGTTTTCTTTCATTACATATGTAAATTCTGTTGTATGTTTGACTTTTAGTTTATCTCCAAGATCAGATAAATTGATATCAAGAGCATAAATAGTTTCAAGAACCTCCAATACCCTAACTATTTCATATTCAATACAAAACAAAGGGCTCATAAAATATTCTAAAATTCACCAGAACTACTTAAAGACAAATACTTACATCACAAGAAGTTTTACAACATAGATAGTTGAAAATTGTCCATCTCAAGCTTGTGGACTCTTCTGGTAGCATATAAATATACATACAATCAAAATAAATATATAAGGACATATATATACTCTACTCGGCTCTCCTGTCAAATTTGACGTATGAGGGTCAAGCAGATCAGTTTCCAGGAAACCAACAACCCAACAACAGCACATGAGATTTGATTATAGTCATGAAGGTTTCATGCAGGACCATCCACACTTTTTGAGGGGCCGAATACAGAGACCTGGTGCACTACGTGCCACAGGGTCCCCAAAAGATCCTTCGCAGGTTTTGAATTCAGAGTTGTCCTTCTCCTAGACCAGTTGCCATCCAAGGCTATATAACCCAGTCTGTCCTGCTATTTACCCATAGCTGGAGTGAGAAGAAGAGGATTCACACCTTTCCTAAGGGTATTAGCATGTAAGTGAATGTAATGGATTCAACTAGAATTTGAACTCAGCTCTCCGATTCCTCAATCCAAGCCACTATCCATTACCCCACCTTGCCTCCTCTCTCTCTCTCTCTCTATATATATATATATATATATATATATATATATATATATATATATATATATATATATATATATATATATATATATATATATATATAAAAAATAAAAGTTACCAAACATTGCCTGATGAGAAAAAATGGAGAAAAAAAGAAAAGCACCAGAAACCTCCGAACAGGGCAAAAGAAATCGTTCGGTACCTTAAATCTCTGGTACCCCCCACCCCAGTGTGTAATAAGTTCACCCTGATGATCCCATGTGGTGAAACCTAGATAATACCTGGCTCATTAGTATTTATTTATTTTATATATTTTTATTTTACATATATATAAAAGCAATTACTGAAATTATATATATAGAATTTCAGAAATTGCTTGGACACACCACCACATGCCTGTGAAGATGCCTACCACTATAGGTCTTTGGTCAGAGCTCAATATGATCAACAGAGTTATGCAGCATATCTGTTAAGAACATGAATGTGATATGTACCTCCCATTGCAAAATTAGTTTAAATGTCATGAAACCTCATTATAAAAAAAACAAGAAACCAACGCTTAACAACATTACAAACATGGTCACAATGTACTTGCTGTATTTGGAAATTAAGAATGTATCTACTTTCAGAAACTTTTACAGAATAACAGTACTTACACACCATTTACAATAGGACAGCCAACATCCTTAATAGATTGGCCAAAAGTGCTCTGAATGAATATTCAGTTGGACAATTTCTACACACACTAAGTCCAGAAGAAGAAATATCTTGTTCGCATACAAGAAAAATGCAATAAAGAAGTCCCTTGTCAGTTATTTTTAATGAAACACACACACACACACACACACACATATATATATATATATTTTTTTTGTATGTCTTTTGTAGTTTTGACATTCAAGCAACACCAAATAACCCTGCCATTGTTAAATACATGTTGTGTTGCATAGATCAAAAGACATTTTTGACGATCCTGACCTTCAATTCTTGGTGTGTGGGCAGATTTATCCTGACACTTCTTCTTGGCTGATCTTCTGTGTCCTATTGGTTGGTACCCAAAGCCATTAAAGTTGCTACCATCGAACAATAAAGCTTTGATATGAATCCATTACTTGTCAGCTAATCAATTAACTCTGACTTCTGTCTATGTCTATGCTAGTATCTTTGCATTGATCTTTGTCAATAAAATCAGAGAGCCATTCTCTTTCCTGTTATTTAAAAACAGCGAATTGGCCAAAAGAAATCTTAGATTTCAAGTTTCCATCATAATGATTAGAGTGAATGATACATTGCATTCATGCATGTCTTTAGGAACATTATGACAGATGAAAAAAAAACAAAAAACGACAGATTCTAGAAATAGAATTTAGAATGCAAATATAATTAAAAACAATTAAAAGAGCATTTTTGCATAATAAATATAATGAAACATTGGAGAGTATCAAATGTACAAGTTATTCTCTTCACTCATCAGAACTCAAATGAGTTCCAGTGAATAAAGTGTGATAACTAGTTAGCTCATTTTTTTTAGTTTTTTCTTTTATATTAATCTACTGCAGTTGTTTTCACTTCATAACCCCTTTTAATTATGTCTGTTCTTTTTCCTATAAAATTTATTATTATTATTTTTATAATTTCATTATAAAAATGTACAGATTTTTGTTTGGGAGTTCACTATTTGCCCATAGTTGGGAACCTAACAGGTACTCCCACCCCAGGTCATGGCAGACCTGGGAACAACAGCAATTAAGAGGGGGGTTCAGGCTCCTGAAAACCTCCAATTTCATTTTATACTTCTAGTCAGTCAGTCTGTTATGTGCCATGCATAATACATACTTAGGCAATCAAGTATCTTTTGATACATGACTGACGAGGCATATATTTTCCCGCAGTAGTTTCCCATTTCTTTCTGCAGTAGACCAATTGCCATCCAAGACTATAAACCCAGTCTGTCCTGCTATTTACCCCATAACTGGGCAGAGAAGAGGAGAATTCATACCTTTCCTAAGGGTATTAGCATGTAAGTTAATATCATGGATTCGACTTGAATTTGAACTCAGCTCTCCAATTCCTCAATCTGAGTTACTATCCACCATGCCTCTAACAGGATCTTAAAATACTCTCTATATATTTTTTCATTTTTTCCTTTTATGTAATGTTCTACATATGATATATTAGGTTGGCCAGAAAGTCTTGACTAACTTAGGAAGTGGAAAGAAAACATCAAAATTTTTTTTGAGCAACACCAACATTTATTCTTCAAAATAAAATCCGTCATTCTCACTGATCTTCTGTCAGTGATCAGCCAGCATCCAAATCTGTCCCAGATACATGTCTGCTGGCTTTGACTCAAAAACTGTAAACAAGCTTCTTTTGCTTCATCAAAAATGGTGAAGCACTGGTCACGGAGAAAGTGTGCCATTGAGCAGAATAGGCCATAGTCACTTGGAGCAGCATCTGGACTGAATGGTGGATGTGGAAGAATTTCAACATCATCCATCTGTTTGAACTTCTCCTTAGTCAATCTGGCAGTGTGTGGCCTCGATTGACCAAAGTAGCATACTCCTTCTTAGCTACTGGCAATAAAGTTTAGCATTGATGATGTGACCATGTGCAACAAGCTTGAAATGCAGTACTCCTGGGAAATTCCACCAGACATTATTTATTGTTTTCTTTCTGCTTCCTAAGTGAGTCAGGACTTTCTGGCCAACTTAATATTTCAATAATCCCAGCTCTCCTAAAAAATTATTCAAATTTTGGTTGTCTTACATCTTAAAGCATTATAATTGACAGATGATGATCTTTTACTTCTGGGATTCTTTTTTAATCATTTCACCCCAAGTAAGGTGATAATGCCACAAAGGCGCAATAGGTGATTGGGGGTGGAAAAGATAAGAAGATATTAGTAAGGAGAAAGGACAATAAAAGAACAAGATTCAGGAATACAGAAGATCGCGATGACATTGCATTTAAATTTTTGAAGATTGTAGGTTGCAGGGAAGAAAGAAAGAGATTTCCACAGGTTAGAAATTTATTTAATTGATTGATTTGTTTTCTCAGATTTATCAACCCTTTGTAGGTTATCTAAAGTCAGAAAATATTTTTAGATTGTAAGAATTTTTTTGAGATAGTAATGGTTTACTGATACAAGTCTTACTAATTAACCCATAGTTGGGGAAAGAAAAGGTGGATTCATACCTTCCCCAAGGGTATTTGGGCCTAAGTGAATATAATGAACCCAATAAGAATTGGAACTCAGCCCTCCGTTTAACAATTTAGAGCCATTATTCATTACACCACCTATACATCCAAGCTTACAGAACCTGGTATTCCCAAGTGTTCACCCATCAATGTACTGATCAGGCTCAACATTGCTTAACTTTGGTGATCATATGAGAACTGTTTTTTCAATGTGTTGTGGCCATAAGCCTGAGAAATATGAGAAAAGAAACTATATTTTATAATTGCTCTACCAGTCTCCCAATATCCATGATTGCTGAAAGTGTCAGCTTGACAAATTTGGTAAAAGAATAATTTCATTGAATGTAATTCAAGACTCTACCAAACTGGTCTGAGTTTTGATCATACATTTTCTACTGATATGATGTAGATTGATTATATTGAATCAATTTCTCAGTCTACTACTAGGATAGTTGGTTCACTGTGACAATCTAGACAATTTGTCTCATTAGAATCAGTCTTACACATTTATAAATCTACCATTCATTCATGTTTTGAATATTGCTGCCATATTTGGTCTGGTGTTCTTGCTATATATCAGGAGATTCTTGACAAAATCCAAAGAAGCGAAAGAGAAAATCACCTACCTTGGAAAATAGTTTGTGCTTTGTGTGTGGTCTGCAAAATGAGAATTAAAAAAAAGATAGCAAAAACCTGCTCCTTTAAGTATCAGAGAAACTATGCTAATGTTCTTTCATCCTTGAATGGCACCGACAATCAAAAAAATTGCTCAGTGAATAAAGGCCCTTGTTTTTTTGTTTTTTTTTGCTTACCAAGGAGAAGGTTTTTTGAGTTTTGTGGGTGAAAGTGTGGTTCTGTTGTTGCAAAGTGAACGTTGGATTTCTGACCCCGATTTCATTACTACATTGCCTGCTGGAGTTTTATGACAGATTTTCGATTGAACTTTGTGACTAGTGTCGCAGACAAGAGAAATAGAAGAAACCGATTGCAGGCATTAATTGCTACAATAAGTTTAAAACTGTTTTTGTTTTTTTTGCTACAGTTCTGTTATAAGTTCTAACTTGGCATTTCAGTTTCACTTACTTCCTCACTCTCATGGCATGTGGCTCCTATTTGTCATTTTTCTATAAATATTTTAATGGCAATTGTTTTAATGAACTTTCTTCCATTGCACCTTGATTGCATGAATTTAAGCATACTATTAAATTAACAACTAGGTCTCATCATTCTATAGTTTAACTAGCTAGATGTAACCATAAGTTTGATTCTAATAGTTTATTCTCTTGCACTTCTCACCTTGGGAACTCTCTTTCACTTTCTTGCTATCCTGCCACCTGCAATTTTCAAAAATTTAAATGCAATGCCAATTGCCATCTTCTGTTTTCCTGAGTCATGTTCTTTTATAGTTCTCTCTCCTTACTAAACTCTTTTCATTCTGTTTCAATCTTAGTAACCCCTTGTGTCAATTTTCAAAAATTTAAATACAATGCCAATTGCCATCTTCTGTTTTCCTGAGTCATGTCATGTTCTCTCTCCTTATAAACTCTTTTCATTCTGTTTCAATCTTAGTAACCCCTTGTGTCAATTTTCAAAAATTTAAATACAATGCCAAATCTCAAAATTTTCATTCTGTTTCTCTCCTTAAAACTCTTTTCATTCTGTTTCAATCTTAGTAACCCCTTGTGTCAATTTTCAAAAATTTAAATACAATGCCAATTGCCATCTTCTGTTTTCCTGAGTCATGTTCTTTTATAGTTCTCTCTCCTTACTAAACTCTTTTCATTCTGTTTCAATCTTAGTAACCCTTTGTGTCAATTTTCAAAAATTTAAATACAATGCCAATTGCCATCTTCTGTTTTCCTGAGTCATGTTCTTTTATAGTTCTCTCTTCTTACTAAAGTCTTTTAATTCTGTTTCAATCTTAGTAACCCCCTATATCTTAGTGACATTATCGCTTTACTTGGGGGTGAAATGATTAAAAATAAAAATGACCCAAACTAAATGTTTGAGATTTGAATCCCATGGATATAAAACTGTGATAGTGATAGATTTTCTTTGTCTAAATTTTGCTACAAGACTGAAAAATATGTGGAACCAAGTTTGCAGCAGGTGATAAGTCAAGAAATTGATGTTTACCTGAGCCTTCCTCTCCCAGATTACTTTGCATGCCTCTGGTTGCACATATGAAAAGTATAGTACCTGGTTGACGTATTCACATCTATTTTCTCTTTCTCTCCCTGTCCCTAACTTCCTTCAAGAAAGGATGCTAACTACATCCTACCTAAAATAAAGTGAGACAAAAGAAATCTGTGGAAAATTGTCTAGTGTTGATTGAGTCTGTTGGTGCAGCATTTGGGTCCCAACTGAGAAATTGCTCATAGATCAGCACAATTCAAACACAAAATAGAATGCAACACCATGTACCAATTAGATATCCAATGGAATGATCTAGTTAGCAAATGCAGCCTGTCATAGTAAAGGGTTTGTTAGAGCTGATGTCCAATATTTGAAGAACACTGGTCATCCCACATAGAATGTTGGCAAAGATAGGTTTTTATTGATTCCAGTTTCTGTTTCACATCAGTCTGTCAATGGCATCTGAATCTGTTGAGGACAAATAAAAATGGCTGTTTCAGCAGCCATAATAGTCCACTTTTTTCACCAGAACCTTATTGTATTTTTGTGTGAACATGGCCATGCATTTGCTGTAAATTCTGTTTAAATTTTCTGTTTCAAAACATAAAACAAATTATGTAAATTTTTATTTTTATTCAATACTCAACAGGAACCAGATAAAGAATCATCCTTGGTATGATGATAAACTACATTCAATAGAAATGCCACTGATCGGGAAATTGGAGGTTTTCAGGAGCCTGAAACCCCTTCTTAATTGCTTTTGTTCCTAGGTCCACCATGACCTGGGGTGGTATTATTTGTTAGGGTCCCAACTATGGGAAAATAGTGAACTCTCAAACAAAAATCAGTACATTTTTATAATGAAATGAGAACAATACATTTTTATAGCAAAATGACAATGTAATGCTAAAAAATATAAAAATTCATTTTTTTAGTAAGATTACCTACAGTATATTTTATGATCTCCAAACTATATATCTAAAAAAAAAAAATTCCTTTACTTGGAAAGTATAAAATTATTATAAGAAATTTAGTACATATTAAACGCAAGTAAGTTTCTTTTCAGAATTTGTAGTCCAAAGTTAAGAATGCATGTTATACACAAATATTTATGATACCTAAAAGTAAATAATAGAACCAGATATTGAAATGTTATATTACAACGAGGCAAATTCTATAATCATGATTTCTATATCAGCAAAAGAATAAGGATGAGAATTTATGATGTTGAAAGTCAAATATTGGAATATAAAAGGGTGTTTCATTAAGAGGGATCAAAGTCAGCAGTAAATAAATCAATGTTATTGGTGAAAACTTATTTCTTTATTGAATCATATTATTTAAGTAATGGCGATTATGTTTGAAAAATAATATTGCCCAAATGTCGGCCAAATCTGAAAGGAAAGAAAAAAAATCATTAGACGCTTAAATTTAATTCACATTTAAAATCAACCCAAATTATTGGAAGACCCTTTATATTTTTTATTGTTGCATTTTTGTACAAACATAGCCATGCATTTACTGTAAATCCTGTGTAAATTTTCTGTTTCAAAAGTTAATGTAAATTATATAAATTTTTATTTTTAGTTGTTATAAACAGGATAGTTGTTATAAACAGGATATATGAATTGAATATAAAATTGAACAAGTATTAAACTTAGTTGCTATATAAGTTTTACAAGTCAGTGTGTATTACACAAGATTTTTTTCAGAATTTCACATTGTAAAGATAGAGTTGAATATTATGCACACATAATTACAGTAACTGTTGTAACCTAGGGAAAGTTACAGAATTGAATAATTGCATGAAGGTTGGTAATGAACAATAATACTTAGGTCAAGAACACCACATATAAGATTCAACAGAAGTAGTCAACTGCTAGAAGTGAGTCGAGTGACTTCCACAATGAATCTCCAACTACAGACCAACATACAGTATTTACTACTTTATTTATGTGAACCAGGACATACTTATTATTGTCTTTAGGTATCCTACAACACTATTTTAAATGATAACAAGAACAAAAATGAGGTAAATCTGAATTTATAGATAGAATATAAAGTCTGAATATATAAAATTATCTAATAGGATTATATATAGTATATATGATCATATATAAGATAAGATTATAGATAATATATATCAGATTATATATAGTATATAATATATATTTGGTTGAGCCACATTTATGACTCTATCATGCCAAACATCACATTAATGAATGAAGATCAAGAAAGTCATCAGGGTGACATTCTGTGTTATAATATAGCAGATTGCTAGGTGACCAACCCATCTTGCTTCATGACTTGGTATCCAGAGCGATACATCACTTGCATGTTCTTGTTTTGCTCACCAGCAGTCTCCTGCAAAATTCATTCTTCATTTGCATAAGACTGTACAAATATCAGGGATGGTTACATAGAGGTGTAATTTTGTTGGATGCTGTCTCCAAGAGATGTTAAATATAGCTCTCAATATCTGAGTGAAAAGTTCCCATCAAGCTTATACTCTAGGTTTTAGTTAATGTCCAAGCAGTGGTGCCATACATTAACACTGCCTCTACAGTGGCTTGACAGATTCTCCCCTTGAGGTAGTCTGATAGATCAGATTTCTAAATTACATACATTTTATTCGAGTTGGCCCTGGATTTAGCAATTCAAATTTTTGCATCTTTTTCAGCAGAATTTATTTCACTTCCTAGTTATGTAAAAGGTTCAACAGATTTTATTAAACCTTGCTAGTTGAAGCCTATGAATTCAGTTTTAGAGGCATTGAGATAGAGTCCAACATTATTGGCAGCATTTTCTAGATGATGTAGAAGAAATATATAAGATTATCTTCTATAAGATATAAAGTCTCAAGATATATATGATAGTCTAATAAGATTATATATATATATATATATATATATATATATATATTCATTTGTATGGATATGAGTTTGTGGCCCTGGGGTTCATTCTTTTGCAATCATCAAACAAATCATCAGAATTTGTCTGAAAAGTGGGAAACCCAGGGTTGCAAACTCATATCCATACAAATGAATATGTTAGCTCTATCACTGATACTGAGCACTTTCAAATAAGTA